ATTTTATATGAGCGTAATTGTGTGTACCCTTCGTATCCTATTCATCATATGTCTGTCATTCATTTTTGTCTGGTTATAAATATTGAGTAATGCTTGCTTATAGCGAGTTGGCTTCCCAGCCATCTCCACTGCGTTTCATTTCCGCCTCGTTCGCTTCCTTCGCTTATTCGCCTGTTCACTCGCTCCTTATTATTCGCTCAGGTGTTGCTAACTTTCTGACCTGAGTTATTCGACAATAAACTGTAGTTGCTGCTAACCTTCGTCTTCTGATTTTACGCACCGTTAAGTTTAGAATTATAACGGTTATCGGAATGAACTATTATTGAAGCACGGCACTACAACCTTGAAATGTATATTTTCCGAATTATTTTAATAGAGAATGTTAAGTCGTGTAGTTTCAACAGCTTTGGTAATAAATATAGCGAGAGGATGTCCATACACCTATCACTAATCAACATATGAACAGTATCCAGCATTTTAAGCATTTTATGGATTGGTGTTGTATACCAGGGTGCAATGTTCCCTTGTTTAAATACCCAACTTCAATCGATTATTCCAGAGTTTTCATTTAAAAGTTTTTTAAAAATTAATAATCACATGGACTATTGTTTTTTCAAAAGTATTTTCCCAATCGATTTCGTATGCACACACACACACTCACATACACATACACAGTACTGAGAATAGCATTGTAGAAAAAAATAGGTAAAACTTCCTCTTATTTCGTTACTTATTATTTTTATCTTCATTATTGTTTGTGTTTCACCAGTAAACAAATGTCTTTTTTCTGGGTTATCCATATATTCACCACATAATAAAATGTAAACAGGAAAGTTGGTATAAAATAGATAAACAACTATTATAACAGAGACAATAACCGTAGTTAGCAGAGATGGATAGTGGCTAGCAGTGGAATCCAGGACGCGCGTTTCATCCTATTTGGGACTGGTCAGTTGGATGTAGCTGCATCTCGGAATTGATGTTCACTGTGGGACTGCAACCCAGTACCGTTCGCTTCAAACGCCATCACGTTATCCACTCGACCAATGAGTCCTCATAGTCACTTGCTTGTGCAATGAGGTGAAGTTTAAATTCAACTTAGTATTGTTTGCTTGAATCTTCCCATCGATTTGTTAGGACTGCAACTGGTCAGTGTCTAATTGGCATATGTGCATACTGTTCGTATTGCCTCGATATAGCCTAACAGCTGATGATTCCGAAGTAGGATGAAACGCGCGTCCTGAATTCCACTGCTAGCCACTATCCATCTCTGCTTACAATGCTTGTGAATTAAGGCTATATCGAGGCAATACATACAGTATGCACATATGCCAATTAGAGATTGACCAGTTATAGTCTTAACAAATCGATGGGAAGATTCAAGCAAACAATACTAAGTTGAATTTAGAGACTCTAATCGTTGAAATAACTTTGAATCTAAATTTAATTAAGGGAAATAGTCAAATATTATCGCTGTTGCTTTATTCTGTTCTTGATTTAATTCTTTCTTTTTGATGTTTTATTTTGTTTGTTCTTTTTTTGCCGAAAGATTTCTTATTAATATTCATTAATTAAATATCTTAAATTGAAGGAAACAAATAAAGTTAACTATAAAAGAGAAGCATAGAAAAGTATTACAAAATTACTAATGGTAGTTGACGGTAAGCTATCAAGGATATGTGTTTTGCATTATTTTAACCTTGTCAGTTAATTAAACCGGGCACACACACACACACACACGAGGTTCACACCAGAGCTCGAACCCACTACCTGTCGAGTCCTAGTGTAAACATAAACACTGTAAGAAAATACATTCAACTAATGATTTTTAAATAGGGTGAAAAATGTGTAGTAGATTCAACTACTAGCCACTATTCAACTTTACTAAAATACGTGGCTACATAGTTGTAATCCTACGCTGTGATTTAAAAAAAAAATATATCTACAGTTTAAACAAGCAATGATTTTGTCTTCAATATGGAACCAGTGTTATATGAAACTGATAGAGTGCTAATAATAAATTGATTTAATATAATTAAAGGATGATATTGACCAAATTCTAAGAATTATATTTCCGGTATTTAGTTATTCTAAAAGGAATTCTTAGATTTGAAGCAATTATAGACCATATTCTAGTTAAAGTTCCGTTAATTAAAAATTAATTATCTAGAATTTACATAAGAAAATCAATGTTAAGTGAATTAAATTTTTCTCATCCATTTTTCTTTTATAAAGAATTAGAACGAGTTTGGAAGTTGAGTAACACATTTTATATTTAGGACCCTAACACTTATTTAATAAGACTTATTTCAGCTTAGAAAAAGAAATAACTTAAAATTATATAATAATGTAGTAAAACTATTTACATTGACAACATATCTTGATTGATTTATTCCATTCTTCATTTGTTTGATATTTCTCTGAGATCATTTCAACAATTTGTAAAATTTCAAATTGTCTTAAATAGCTTTAGTGTATTATAGTAATGATGATTGTAGTTGAGAGAAAGTTATAGATTACTAGGAAATTTGGATGAACTGTTCTGTATGAAAATCTTATTCTGACAATATTAAACTTTTGTGTATAATCAATAAGTTTCTTTAAGAGTCTGAACTTTATTTGATTAAAAATGGAATGAAAAAGTCTTGCTAAGTAAATGTTATAATGATGAATCTTTGGTTATTTACAGTTAGATACAAGACTTTATTAATACTGTAGGATAAAGGAATGTCTTTAGAAATGTCAAATTTTACAGTTTACATCGTGAACTGATCTTACGGAAATGCCTATTACAAATCAGGAAACGTTGAACAGTTGCTTATTCCTAGTATAGAACTACTTGACAGTAAGTATCCAGGAGCCAATCAAGAATCGGGGAATACAGAATTTTCAGGATTCGTTTTTGCCCCCTAACCTGTAGACCACTAAATTAGGATCCAATGGTTGACATTTCTGACTCGAATCACTTTGTGATACTGCTTAGTGAAATTGACATTTGGTTTTTAGTTCATTATTGAAGGTGAGGGAGCGGAAGTTTTCCATTCCTGTCTGTCATTCATAATGTACAGCTTAAGTAAATGATTTTGTCGAAAAGAAAAACTTTCTTCGCTGAATTCTCTTTTTTTTATTCAATGACACTATGAGTTATTTTAATTATCATAATAGAGTCGCTTAATACTTTCAAGAAATAAACTTATCAATCGAATCCATAACTTCATGACATTCAGTAAGTGCTGTTTCGTCTTCAACATGATTTTCATTCAACTACAATACTTGTAAACGTTGACAACCAATTAACTGTTGACATGTTCATTGTTATGGTCATTTTATGCAAGGTTACCTCACTGAGAACATTCACTAATATAAGTGTTGAAAATTACCTAGAGTTGACAAATTAATTCTAATTTATTGCAGGAATTATCGGTCATTTGTTTTTATCTGAATTTTCTTTTACGATTTACGGTGTACATGCTGGTGCTTTTTTTTTCAACCCTATCAAATGAAATGAAATTAGTTTAAAAATAAATCTAGCCAACTTACTGATAAGCTTAATTCAAACGTGGCTAAATTTTTCATAAATTCGAATGTATCATTTGTATGTACACTGGTCTAATTATTTCTACTTTAACTATTCGACATGTTTATGACGTATAAGACTGTTAAATTTTGACTAGATCGATGGAATCCAATCACCACTAAAAAAACTAGACATTAGTAAATGATCAATCAGTTGTATATATCTCAATTCTACAGGAATTCAATGTCAGTTTAATTAGTTCAGTGATGACATCTCACACTGTCGAATAGGGTGACCAGGGTTCAAATCCCGTAAGGCGTATCGTTCACCTTAAGAATAAAAGTGAGCTTTGCTGACGAGTGCCAACTATAGCCGAATAGATTACCTATCAATTACCTCCAACCAGCCAACATTTTTAATCTATCTTACTGCTGAAACGTACTATTGTAGTGAACAGAACACGACTGGGGACAATCGAATGTATATAAGCAAAAACTACAGACTATCTTAGTAAACTCCAATAACCATACAATGGACAGTTAATTTGTAAATTAACAACCAATAGTCTCCATCTTCACTGTTCCTTCTTTAATTCCATTGCTCATGCATTTACCAAACTATTACGCTTCATTTCAGTTCTTTCCTAATCGGTTTTCTGCCAAAATACATTCTATGTCTGCCCCATACCATATACTACTTATATGGATATAAGTAGACCACACCGCACTATTAGTGTATGTGTTAAAAAGAGAATAATTCAATAAACCTAGAATGAATTACTTTTCGGTATGACACTTTAAATTAAACAAAAGAGTGTAGTTGTCTGTTTATTTTTTATTTAAGAAAGTAACTGATAAAAATATAAAAAAATATTATTCGAAATAACTTAGAGGCTACGCCCATCATTCCTAATCTGGTTAAACAATATAAAGTAATTTCTGATAAGCAGCTCAGTTGTTTACAATGATTGGATATAATTTTTGGAAAATCAGAAAGGTGAGCAATCTAATTATTATTTGAAAATAGTTAACGACATAGAGTGAGATCAATTAATGAACTTTCAAAAAAACTCCGATAGTAATGGAGAACCTTAGGTTTCAACCAATTGAGGAACTTGCTAACATCATTATCAAAGCATTACGGTTCAATAAAAAAATTTTTCCTAAATAAAAATTTAACATGTTTTTTTTTGTCCGATTTGTAAATCTTATACGTTTCGTTTTTGAAGAATTATTCATGAACCAACTATCATTTCATTTGTACAAAATAGATGAAATACTATTGAGTACCATTAATCATTTGTAACAGTAATCAGTGCCCCCCCCCCCGATTATGCAATAAAATTACTGAATATGTTTTTAGTAAGTTTTTGAAAAATTTCACACTGATTTAATTTATGTATATCTGTAAAACAAGTATAAAATGTGTCTTTTCATATAATTATTTTTCTGTTTATTCTCTTGTCTTTTCTAATGTTTCACAGAAAGCAGAAGACAGTGATTCAACTTCCGCATTTGGGTAAGTTTATTGTTGTTTCCTTATTATAATTGAACTCAGTCCGAATTAAATGATTATATTTGCTGTTTGGTAATTTAGGCGTAGGTTGAAAAAAATAAGAGGTCATCGAACCAAGACATAAAGCCGCTTAATGTTTAATTAAGACATAATAGTATGGGTAGACTACTTATTCGGGGACGATTGAATGGAGACTTTGGATGTTTTGTCTCATAGTCTTTCGCCAGGTTCTTAGCTGCTTAAGACTGATCGACTAAATATTGTATTTCATACAAACTAATCATCTGAAATGTACAGAAGTTGAAGTTTCATCATTTCGAGGTACTGAGAAATCATTCCAACTGTTAACTAGAGTGAGAAAGTAAGTCAAAATACTAAATTGGTGAATAAAGATGGATAGTGGCTAGCAATGGAGTCCAGTTTGACGGGCGTTTCGTCCTATTTGGGACTCGTCAGTTGGATGTACCTGTATCTCAGAGTTGACAGTACACTATAATTTACCACAGATTTTTTTCACAGAAAAACGTTAAGTAATCTATTGATAGAATAAATATCAAATTGTTTTTTTGAGAACATGATAGTCAAAAACAATTTTAATAAGGGAAGTTAGATTCACATAGGCAATAATACGATTTTAAAAGTCTCCCTAAAAAGAAAAGTTTTTGAGCATTTCACGATAAACAGATGTAGTTAGACAATATGAAGAAGAAAACATGTGTTAAATGTAGAGTTAGAGAACGCTTTATTTCTGCTAATGGTGATGGTTTCCATATTTAAAAAGAAATTGTTTATTGGTCAATATCAGCAAATTTCACATTGTGCAATCGATTTCAAGGTTTATAAGCAGCTACATCCAGCTTACTGGTCACAAATAAGACGAAACGAGCGTCCTGAATTCCACTGCTAGCCACTATCTATCTTTGCTTACAATGCTTGTGAAATAAGGCTATATTGAGGCAATATGCACAGTATGCACATATGCCAATTAGAGACTGATCAGTTGCAGTCCTAAACATCAATGGGAAGATTCAAACAAACAATTCTAAGTGATTTTGACTTTTGTTTCTTTGTCGACAAAGTATAGATGAATACATTTATCCCTGTACAATATTCAAAATATTTTATCTGATTAACAAACATTTAGTACTCTACTTATATACTAAGCATAGTGATTTATCTGGCTAAACTATTATTTATAACATTTGTTATTTCGAGTGAATGAGCCAACTATTTGTAACGAGAATCAATGCATCCATTTATTTTCATTATGACTAGCAGTACAAATCTATTCATTACTCAAAGTTTGTAATAAGGGTTAAAATGCCTAATGCATATTTGTATTAATGGTATGATGACTAAAAGTCTGGTAGACAGTTTTTTTTGTATTGTCTTATTTAGTTAATATTTGCTTATTCAGCTGGGAAACTGGAGTCTGTTCATAATTACAGATAGCTTATGAATACAATATACCATATATTAGTGAGGAGCATATCAAGCACCAATTCTGAATGCATTTCTATGGTATTCGACATTTAGTTTTTTATCCAATAATATTCTAGTATAAGGAGGTTGTTCACTTAATTAGAGTGAAATACAGCTGATATGCTGATTGAGATAAATATAATGCTGGTTAAAAACGAGGATAATTGTTTTTTTCATCTTTTAATAAGTGATATATTTAGCATTTTCGAGAATATTTACGTCTATTTGGTGTGTTAGTGATGCATATAAAAGTGTAATTTTTAATGGGGACTTCATTTTTGTGAGTTAAAGCTACCTGCATATATCTTTAAATAATTACGCTACTATAGCACACCTCATCTTACCTAATGAAAAAGCAAAAAGAGGGAAGTTAGAGCTTGAAGTTGATACCTATGTGAGAATTATACTATTACATAAAATGATTAACTCACTAAATGAACGGAGAAAAGCTAGATATTGCGCACATTGACAATTGAGAAGCAGATAGGTTACCGGTTCACAGACACATCAGTCAGTCAGTTACAACGTAGAACTTTGTACGTACGTACATCAGTTCGAGTTGCCATACCACATTAGCACAGAGATGAAGTTGTCCATTCAAATCCCACAGTGGTAGAAGTAGTAAGAGTATAAGCATTAATGTGGAAGATTAGGGTTTGAAGATGTTATTGAAGGAGTATAATACAATGAAATAAATTTGGAAAGAGAAAAAGATAAAAACATGAGGAATTCAGAAGCTTAGAATTTGGTAGAACACAAAGAGTGGATGCACCTTTGCCATTGCAAACGATTTTGAGCCATGTCATTCAAGGTCTTTAACCATCGATTGCCATCATCTCGCGAATCCCAACCAGGTAGTCTACACCTACCAACATGGCCCAGTCCACTTGTCAGTGACTTCATGGATTTATGCCATGTTTTTGTCTGGCCGCCCCTAGCTTTCTTCCAACCTGCTCCTACACCATAAAGCATTGCACATCGGGGCAGTCGGTGGTCGGGCATACGTAACACATGTCCCAGCCATCTCAACTGATGAAGTTTCACTACATCATCAATCGATGACAGACACATCCTATGTCCTAGGTAATCATTATATTAGTTTTGAATTTCAACCAGCGGGATTAGAAATAAACAGAACACTAAATTTATTGAGACTCATGAACAGATTAAAGATTTATTCATTTCTGTGTGACTGTACTGAAAATAATGACCCATAAAGTAGTGATCCTAAGTTATAAAATGGTTCAGTTTATGATTCAGGTGATCGGATGAGAAGTATTTCTTAATCAGTGATCAATTTCAACCACTGAACAGTATAGGTTTTCATAGAAATTGGTTTTTTACCGAAAAAAATCTGTCAATTTTCTACTATTTACTTTGTACTGAAAACATAGATTCATTTAAACTTTTCATCAAAGTTATAACGCGTTTTAGTGCTAGCTAAATGACTATACTAGAAATTGATTTCAAAATGTAAAATTTGTTCATATAAATATCTTTAGGGATCAGTCACTACTGAAGCAAGTCAAATAATTTCTCTTTGAACGTGCATTTAGACAAATAGGTGAATATCATCAGTTTGTGATTCAGGCTTATTTGTTATTCATCTTAGTGTTAAGAAAAGTAGAAGGAAACTAATTGGACAATTTTACTTCGTTAAGCATCAGTTCATTTGAAAAATAAGTGATAAGCTGAATAGTTTGAAACTTTTTAGGTATGATAGACTTCAATAACTTCTGCGTAGCAACTGTGAAGAATGTATCTTTATAGGGAGTTCTTTAACATGTAAATCCATCTGGTTAATCTTTGTTTATTAACAATTTCCATATTACACATTTGTTGAAATATTAGCTCTAGATGTAGGTAGATGATTTCTATATAATCAGATTTATTTGTAGATTAATTTTTTGATATTGAGAACTAAAATACAATCGGTTTTAGCATTTTTCGATCTTGAATGGATATCTTAATAGTGTTTGTGTCTTAGAAGTTTTGTTACGTTTGAATTGTGATTAATAATGAAATCTAGGACTTGAGTCTCGATTTATTTGATGTTTATCAGATGGATGTTCTTAGATGTCCATATTTGAACTAGAATATAATATCAGTCTTCCAGAATGCCAACGCGTCATCCACTAAGCTACTGAGTTCAGATAGTTACCATCTTGTTGAATGTGTGTGATGTTGATTTATAAAGACTAATGGTCAATATTCAATTATGAATAATTATAAACCTTGACGAATCGACATCAAACCTTGTCAAATATTTCGGTAGCTATCGTAATCAAACCTTTGACTAGATAACACAGTGACATTTGAGGTGATATGTAACAGGTTTAGTTCTCATTTTGACTATCAACATTAAAATTCAAGTGTATTCATTTAAAGAAAACAGAATAGGTTGAAACTCAACAATTCTAGATTCTACTATTAATTATAATCTGAAACTAATAATCACATATATGAATAATTTAACAATATTATTTATTATGGAAAGGGTTTTGTGGAGATTTAGTATTTATCATATTTGAAAAAGTGAGTCAATTGAAGCTAGACCACTATGGAAAACGTGGAGGAGTCCCATAATAGGACGAAACAGCCGTCCAGTGTTTCCAGGTTTTCCATGGTAGTCTAGTTTTAATTGACTCACGCTTTTAACTATGATAAATATTATTTATGTTTATTATATCTAATCGATTTTAGGAAATAATAATTAGATAAACAGACAAACAATTTTTATTTTTTTACCAATCAATTTATTAAGGTCAATTTCTTTGAGATATTTATGCTCTTGTATGTAGATTCATTCATCTATATATATCCATATATATCATCTAAATCAAGGGTTAATTTTTAATGTTATTGTATTGAACATGATGATAAGGTGCCCATATTATTACGATGGAAACATGTTTCCTTTTCTCTCAAATGATTAAGGATTTCTAGTCATTTTTCACTTAGGAAATTAGTAGTACATGAACAGTAGAGATGAACGTGAGAAGTGATAATCGTTGTTAAAATGGTTATACAGCTCATAGAAAGTATAAAACAAAGATAGAGATGTGGATTAGATATTCAATTAATTAAATATTTATACAGATTTTTTGAGGTCATAATATCAACATGACCTCAATACACTAAGTCATTTATAACATTCCCCAGTGATGTGTTATAGTGTGATTTCTCAATTTATAATCAGTATTAATAATAGAAAAACCTGAAATACAAATACGACGTAATTGGGATTAGAAATATAAACTTTTGAATTTCAATCCAGTGATCTGGTAATTAAGTACTCACTGAGAGGCTGAAATGTCCTGGTTGTTTAAACGAATTCAGTCAGTGATGTGAAAATCCAGGTTCAACAACTTTTGACAACACCACATTATAACACATTTTTATCAAATAATTTGCCTTCCTGCAAATTTAATTTTACAGATTACTTATCAAGATAGGTAAATAATTTTCCATTAGATTTAAATTGTAGTTGATGTCAAGAAGTAAAGCTGATCAGTGAATGGTTCCAGAATTATCTTGAAAACATCGCTGAAAAATAGAGATAGAGAAACAATATGATCTTAGTAGAATCCATCGGTCTACCGAAAATTAACTTGATTAGCATTTGCTTTTAACGTAGATTTGACAATCTGTACAATTTGGTAGTTCTTCATAATGTTTCTTCGATTAGAAAATTTACTAAGACAAGAATAAATACATTGAATAAATGCAATAATTGTTATCAGTGGTTATAATGAACAGACTATGTAGTGGTGTTAATGTCTAATTTCAATAAATCCAAAATATTATACAATCAGTCTTTATTGTTTTCGCTTAATAACTGCTTCACACTCGACTCGGTCGAACTCTATTGGTCACGGATTCTTACCAGAACTCCAGAAATTTCATCTCAAAGCCAGTCATCAATGAGCACATGATAATTATCGGTATAACGTTGTAGGAATTTTTTGAGTCTTAATATAAATCACGAACCGAATAATGTTAGACCATCATCGAAAATCTGTAAGAAATGGACGGCCGTTTTGTCCTAGTAAAAGACTTTTAAGCTGTTCTCGTCCACGATCCGTATCACCATTAAATGTAATGATGGATGGAAGAATCGTTGGAAATTTAAGTTTCTTGGTTATTTCAAATGTCATTCTGGTGATCACTAAGAGACTTAAAGATATTTGGTTCGATCTCTGGTTAAATGATAAATGGAAATTTCTGAGTTGTGCCATGCTACGACGAAACATCTGTCTTGTGCTTCTTGTCTCTTAGTAATGCTGCAATTGAGATCATTCTGTGATGAATACAACATACAAACTGCTGTATGCTTCTCTTTCTCCAAAAACTTTCTGTCAAACTTACAAAACTCTGCTATGACAACAATAGCCTGAAAAACAGCATAAAAATTTGATCATTTAGACTATTCCAAACACAGTGGTCAACAGTTATTAAACTATCCAGAAACTACTGAAGCTTTTAACTGGTTTGTAGTTTGTTACATTTTTCTTCATCAAGACTGATACAGTCGGGAATAATTACATTTCTAATGAATAAATATAGCCTCTATGGTATAATAACTTTTAACATAATTATGAAATCTGTTTAACATTGTTTCATTTCGATAATTATTTTGTCATTCGATCAGTATCACATATTCAGAACATTTGAAAGCACCAAATTAATATTTGGAATGTGGTTTATAATCAACGATGGTTTTAGCAGTGATGGATAGTGGCTAGCAGTGGAATCCAGTTTGACGCGCGTTTCGTCCTATTTGGGACTCCTCAGCTGGAAGTACCTGCATCTCAGAGTTGATGTTCACTCTGGGATTCGAACACAGTAACCTCGCTTCAAACGCCATCGCGTTATCCACTCGGCCACTGAGTCCTCATAGCCACTTGCTTGTGCGATGGGGTGAAGTGACTCAGTGACCGAGTGGATAACGCGATGGCGTTTGAAGCGAGGGTACTGGGTTCGAGTCCCAGAGTGAACATCAACTCTGAGATGCAGGTACATCCAGCTGACGAGTCCCAAATAGAACGAAACGCGCATCAAACTGGATTCCACTGCTAGCCACTATCCATCTCTGCTTACCATGTTTGTGAATTAAGGCTATATCGAGGCAATACGCACAGTATGCACATATGCCGATTAGAGACTGACCAGTTGCAGTCCTAACAAATCGATGGGAAGATTCAAACAAACAATACTGAATGAATTTAACGATGGTTTTAGTTTAAAATTCTACACCAAATTATGCCAGACAAAATCATTATGTTTTATTCACCCATAGGAATAAGCGAAATCTCTTTTTACCAGCTTTTTTTTATAAATAAAGCGTCAATATGATTGATAACTATTGATATTTAATACTTTGTAGTTCCAGGAAGTGTTGAGTACTACTGAAAATGACTATTAATAATAAGAACTGTTCGTGTACTTTTTTACTCGTGAATTACAATCTAGCCTAGAGTAACAGTATGTGAAAATGATTGCCATTCAGCTTAAAGTATAATGTGTATAGAGGATATATACGCTTAATAATCACCAAGTAGTAACTGATATTAGTTATGTTATGTATATGTTTGACTGACTTCTGTTGAGATAATTCTTCAAAGAAAGATGCCATAGTTTTCCCATTTTTAAATACATTATTTAGATGGGTATCAATCGGTTTTAGACTCAATGCTTCTTATCAATGTACATTTTAGACTAAACACTTTTTATCCGAAATTCTATCATTTATTACTCAATAAAAGACAATATCCATAAATTATTTCTATGTTATGAACACCATGGCAATATTTAGACTAGTGTTGTTTTTGTCAAAGCAAATTTTTGACTGTTATAAATTCTTTTTTTATATATATCGAAACTGATCGATCGTTTGAAGTTGTCAATTTGTCTTTTCCTGCTTTTCATCAACAGATTTTATCGATCTATCGAAAGTCAACCTGAGCAACAACCATGGGCTAAGAAAGCAATTCCAATGGTTGGTGATTTGGTAAGTAACTAACACTGTTAGTATGATTTAATATTAGCGTTTTTTAGCGAGTTAGCTTTTCTACGGGGTGGGGTCGCTAACCCCATGCCCAACCCTCCTCTTTTACCCGGGCTTGGGACCGGCAGTAACTCTAGAAGAGCTACAGGCGGAGTTATGATTTAATATGACATAGTGTAACTTGAAACATGTGAATCGTAGGATAAACCAAAGTACCAAGACAGTAACCTATTGCTTATCCTTTTTCATTTGAACGATTGAAAGTAAATAATCTATGTATCAAGTGAAAAATTATTCAAACCTAAAAAGCATTGAATAGGTGTTTTCTCTTATTTTAAGACTCCACTTCAGTGATAACACTTACTTTGTGGAAACTATGGTTATCAGATCTCATGATGAACGTTATGCTTTTAGAGTACTGAGTCAAAACTCACTAATACCCATTTTAAACCTCAGTTAATACTCCAAATATCAATGACAGTTATCCATTGTCATCAGTAATAACTTTTCAAATTTCGGCGACATAATTTTTGGAGTTCATAACTTCATAATAACACCTCAGGCATCCACTTTAAAAGTAGTCATTGATGAGTACGTAAGTAATTTTAATTTTGTTAGTTTGTAGGGAGGTGCATTTTAACTGAGTAGCTTCAGCTGAAAGGGAATCAGTGTGAATAAAAGAGCACTGGGAAGCTATCTCATTCTAATTTTAGGTTTAATGATTTCCTGATGAAAACTCTATTCAAATTATGAAGAGAGAAACCACACAATACGTTGTTTATAAAACCAAGTCACTTAAGATTCAGTTGTTTGATTTGCAAAAGTTAATTTATTCAATCTCATAAGAGTCTCCTCAGTTGATAACATTATTAAATACCATTAAATTTAAAACAGGACAATCATAACCAATCATTCGTAAAAAATAGTTTAGTTTTTATAAGTCAATTATTAAACTACAATAAGGGCTATATCTTTTATTCATTTAAAAGGAATGAGAGAAATAGTAAGAAGTACAGTCCATTATTAAATTATACTGCATTTCCTATTTCATTGAAAGTCGCAATCATTCAATTCAGTAGACTGTTGATGAATATATATAGCGATGTATGTGTGAGTGAGTATATGTATGTGTTCATGTAGATATTCATCTTCATACCTGGAAACTATCTAGAATCACTGTTAAACTCTTAGTGAATATTTTTCCTTGAATGACTCTTTGTGATATCAGTTATAAAGTTCACGTTTATATTTTGAATACTAGATGTTAAATGCTACAATTATATGTAGTCTTGAATTAAAACTTCAATTTATAATCATATCATCAACTGAATTTAACTAAGCAACGGTCTAAACTAGGAAACACTGGACAGCTGGACTAAAGTTAACATATCGGAGGTTTGACAGGTGATGTTCTATCCCGAAGATTTAAAGATTGTATCCTAAACATGACTTGAGATAGGGTTTGCGCACTGATGAAGTGTTTCATAACGTGATTAAAACAATCATCCGATCATTCCAGATATCTAATAGTTGTCTAGTTAAATGAATTTAGTGATGTAAACTATGTCATGAACAATTTTTCCATACATCAAAAGCAAAGACTTTAAACTAGATATTACAGACCCATCTTTCGATATTCTTAATGAAACAGAATAAAGACTGATTCTCTAGTTTTCAATGATGATAAATTTTATATAGTTAAAACCGAACAACTATTCAGATATTACTAGTAAATATTAATCTGATACCAGGAATAGAAAATGTGTGCACATAAACATTTTATTCAAGAAGCTTAATGAGTTACTGATCTATTAAGATTCATCAATGCAACATATGATTAATTCATTAAGATGGTATTAAAATAACTTTAATTCAATAATTACTGATGACCGGGTTTCATGGATAGCTGTTCCATCCCAAAACATTCAAATAAAAATCATTGAGTATGAGATTATACCAGAGAACTAGTTGGTTAGGTTCATTATTATTATTATTATTATTATTATTATTATTAGCTTTATTCAATATTATATTATTTGGTACAAAATCGAATTCTCAGCACAAAGTATTTCAACATGTTTACGTTTCTTATTTTTTCGTTGCTCCTGATGATAAACATTCAGTGATCGCCAGTTGGATGTCAGCAGTTCAGTCGATCGACATATGGATAATGTATATTCTTTTTACTGCATGTTCCCAGCAAACACGACATCTCTGATTAGGCCTTTTGTAACCTTTACAGCGAAAGGTTGTACAGTTTTCAGAAACGCACCGGAATAGGTTGTGTGCTTAATAGCCATAATTATGTATTAAAACAAACAATATTAGATAACTGGTTGAAATACATAAAGATGACAGGAACAGGTAGCCCAGATGTTTAAGCAGGCCGCCATACGTGGCTTTTGTTATCCATTGTTTTAGGCTAATTGTATAAGCAGATTTAAGATAAAATGTTGAATATTTCTGTAATTTCACAGTGAACGTTAGTTCAAACATGCTTATTATCACTGTTAATAGAAAACATTTCTGGAGTAGTATGAAGCAATTTTCAAAAACCTGATATTTTAGAAGTCAAGTTATATCATTTAAACACTTTTTTATATTGATACTGTAACTTTTCTTAACAAACAGAACATGGAGACGTAGTAAGTTGATTTAGGGATTCCATTCAGTGGTATATCGTATCGAGAATTTTTAGTGTGTTCTTTGGAGAATTCCTCGATATGGTCAACAGGAGCCAGGATTAGGTTAAGGACATTTTGTGCAAGCAGCACAGGTCTTGATAAAACGTCTAGTAAATTGACGAATTATGTGTTATATTTTTTATAGGATAATTACTTACTCCGTTACTAAATTCGGCACACTGGTGAAACTTTTCAGAGGATAACAGTTACTAATAAATCTAGAAATACCTTTATTTCTTGTATACTAATTAGCCTTGAAGCAAAGCTTCCTTTCGTATTTTTTGCCGATTCTGTTTTGTTCAGGGCATAATCATGGGAATATTTTGGGGATATAGGACGCGTCTAGAAAGCCAGTATCGAGAGCTCGAGTGGCAGATATATCTGTTTCGTTCTTAACTATCAAAACCTAATTATCCAATTTTAATAGATCGATAAGCTTCATCTTTTTAAAAGTGCCTGGATTACAATGGTTATTCTTCAAATGAAGAATACAGTTTTATGCACCTTATGAACACAGCTGATTTCCAACTACCTAAATGGTTCATTAGTATATATATATATATTTATTAATTTAAAGAGAGAAGATTAGTATCTTAACTGTTCAGTTGAATTAAGCGTTATACAACTATGTAAGCTTCTCAGTCAGTCTTTAATTTCTTAAAAAATTATTTTTTTCATGTACGAATTTTGTGAAAAGTAGTTCAATTTGTTGATAATATTTGACTTTAGTTAGCACAGAAAATCAAGGAGCAGTGGATAGTTATTTCGTCTTGATATAGGAGACCTCAGAAGTGTCCAACGATTTTCACTTTCAATTGTTATTTCGAATAGAAAATAATTTGTCCATTAAGTGGTTAGAGGCAATTGGTAGGAATCTGTAAACTTAGGTTCCCTGACAGTTGACACTCATCAGAATGGCTTGCCAAGGATCTTATCACTGAACTATTTACGTTATAGGGCTGAGACACATTTATTGATCAGTGAATAGTAATTAATGCCATTTTTGTTTCATGCTTACTGCTAATAGAATTCAATCTATCACTTAGCTATATACTTAATACTTGACATTGTTTGTTCTAACATTATGTGTTCAATAACTCAGTTAGGCTAATTGTTCACTGTTCTTTCATCAGTTCAACATTTCCTCAACATTTATTTTTATAATCAAAACTTTTTAGTTTTGTTCAATTTGGGACAAATAGATAACACTTTATGAGTTAAAAATGAATTCAGTTTAGTGAAAAGTAAATGGATGTACTTCAATGTCCAATACACAAAATGCATTATGACAGTTAGAAATAGTAATTATAGATATGAAGAAAACACAATAATTACTATATGAGATCTCAGTTAATGACCAGTCTAAGTCTAGTATATGAGTTGAATAATTTGAATTATAAGATCGAGCAAAACGTAATTAGGTAATAATTATGAAAGTTCAATTATTATTGTTATTACTATTAGTACTTTTAGTACTGCTAATAATAGTAATATTAATAATAATAGTGTTGTGAACAAGAACCCAATTGGGGTCAATCGAAAGTATTTAATCACAAATTACAGACTATCTCACTAAATTTTTTTAACTATATAATGAACAGTTAATTTACAAAATAACCATCAGTTGTCTCAATCTTCACTGTTTCTTCTGTAAATATCAGTTCATCTTCTGTAATCCCACTGTAAATGCATTTTCCTACCAGTTGCATTTCATTTCATTTCTTTCCTTATCGGTCTTCTGCCAAAATACATTCTATGTCTGACCATCACCATTATACTACTTATATGGATTCGATAGTAAATAAAGTTTCTCATTGTTCTAACTCATTCTAAATCAGATTATCGGCTGTTTAGGCGATCACTTTACATAATATTATTATTAATATTGATATAAATGGATTATTATCACTGAAGTTCATTAGTCTTCGGTTTACATCTCAATTTTTGTTCTACTGTTATTCACCGAGGCTAGTTCTTTCAAAGTTTAACAATAACTTTCATTATAAACTGATTAGCTTGTATACCAAAGACAAACATAACTGATAAACAAATTAATATGTCTGTAATATCCCGATGAGTAGGAAAATTAGATTTTCTGACGTTTCGTGACTCGGTGTAAGCCACTTCTTCAGAGAATAAATAACCAGGTCGAAATTAATCCAAGTTTAAATAGTACAACAGAACAACACAAGAATATTATGTGTGTTGTTCGGTTGTAACGTGTAAAAATTCGATTTTTTACTCATATGGATATTAAAAATATATTATTTATTTATAAAAATCTACCCTGTGCTCAAATGATGCAAAATTATCAAGTCAAGCCGTGGTAATAATACGTACATACATAACTAATATTAGTTTTAGTCGGCTTTTCAATGTTACTTCTGTATTAATAACTACTATAATGGCTGTAATAAGAATTTGTAAGCCCCATCTGAATCTCGTCAAATACTTTGTAAATATAAGTAGACAGATCCTGTTGTATGACAAGTTCATCATATGATGATGATATTAAAAAATACAGTACGAAATAATATAGGGAACGGACTTTTTTAAGTGTGCTGATCAACAGATAAAACAACAGTGAATTTACAGAATGAATATATTACGCAATGGCTTATTTGATTTGTTAGTCGAATTAATGTATAAATTATAGTCTGTCTATTGCAAAACTACCATCAAAATTACAATTTCATTATATACTGACGAGTTCATGGTTAGCATCAAAACTTGAAACCTTCATTAAATGAAATTCCTTTAGTTGCTAATTGATCTACAGACAATCATGAGTGACCATATGAAATTCCAACTCTTTATTAAGTTTAAAACAGGGTTAGTAATGCATGTTACGAATGAAATCTAAGGTTTTCATCATGCACTTTTATCACCATAAGAGGCATAAATGCTTTTTAAATAAAAATCAAAGAAACATAACCTTAAATCTTATTGGTTTATTCATAAATTATAGTCCTTTCGTGACATACCCTCCATTTTTTTTACACCGTAGTAACTGAAGCAATAAATTTTCACATTAAATCTTTTTTTCTATTGAGAGTTTTAAAATAGTCAAATTACAAAGAAGAAAGACGAACTTTCAAATGCTCCTGTCAACTGCGATAAGTTTTATAAGAAAAATAATTAATGTTTTATGATTGGTAACAAACGATTGTGATTTAAAGAATTAAATAAGATTAAAACAGATAGACGACGTGCTATGTATTGTAAATGTTTACATTTTGATGGAGTTTTGTTCTCTCAGCTGGATGATTTAGTCGTGGAGCTTTCATCGACCAAATCATCCAATTCAGAGAACAAAACTCCATCAAAATCATCCACCTGAGCTACAAATCTTCTTCACCATCTCAAAATGTTTACATTTTACATAAAGCTAATATTACTTGTTATTCAGGATTATATTTGGAATTTGTATTTTCGTGCTCACAAGCACCTTCCAGTGTGGTTAAGTAAAGGGATAGTTAAAACTGTTGACAACTTGAGAACGTTTGGTCTCACGCATGAAAGCTTGACTCCTAGACCTTTGAGCCAGTATCCAACAGTGTTAATGTGTAACTACAATAAATTCACGAAATCACCAGATCGGAGGTCGGGAGAGAAACAGATGTCACCGGTGGCATTGGATGTTCTCCACTCTTGTGGCTTGAGACACTAATCAACATTAAGTCTCATGTCTTCAGTAGGACCGGTAACCCAAGTATCGATTGACATATATAGCAATGAACAATAATCTATGACATTAACTCTCACTGGACCTTGAGCTCCTTCTAACGCAGTAGCAAATTAGGGAACCAAGGTGGCAAGCAGAATAAATCCTTATTGTATTTAATTCAGTTTGTGACTCAAAGCGCATACAATAACAGGCTCGAATTTGCTGGTCACACAATACACCGTATTAGAAATCATAGTTTAAAGATAATCATACTATAAGTGGTAGGTGGCTAAACAAACAGTACGTAGTTAATAAGCAATAACTGAGGGATAGTAAAACGTATAGTGACAGTTAATCAATTCACTGCAAAATTTTCAACTTTCCTAACATTTGTCCCGTTATAACACCTACACTACATCGCAAATTGATTAAAGTTGGAGTTATAACATCTCGAAAGCCAACATAGTCATTCTAATGTTTAGGAGTTTTCTGAAAGACTTGGAGGTTTTGAGTTCTATCCTGAGCAGGATCATGAATTCATACTATATTAAGAAGTCTCATGCCAGGATTAAACACCTGTTTAGTACTCCATGATTTCAAATGGTATCCTTACAAAGATCAATCTTTTAATAAATTAAACTATGAATTAAACCAATCTTCATTAAAAATCCTTTTAATTAAATCGTTAAAATAGCTGTAAATCAATACATTTGAAGATTTCAGCATTACTGAACCATTGTATTAAATATAGATAAAAAAATGTATGTTAATAATGTCAAATAATTCAATGAACTACTACTATTGTAGTAAACAGAACACTGGTTGGGGACAATCGAATGTATTTAAACAAAATTACAAACTATCTCAGTAAATTCTGAAAACCATACAATGAACAGTCAATTTGCAAATTAACAACCAATTGTTTCAATCTTCACTGTTTCTTCTCTAATTCCATTGCTCATGCATTTTCCAAACGATTGCGCTTCATTTCAGTTCTTTCTTCATCGGTCTTCTGCCAAAATACATTCTATGTCTGACCAACACCATATACTACTTATATAGATATAAGTAGACCACACCACACTATCATTTTAAGTAAAGTATATTAGAAGGGAAAAGAGTAAAACACTATGGTTTTGAATTAAATTTAACGAATATTTCCTGTTATTATTATTAACCTCATCTCTCTCTCATAATCAACTAACTTCACTTTTGTTTGGCTTCATTTTCCCCAATTACTAGGTATTACGAGTAAGTTACAATCTATTATCTATGATAATTTAAATTGTTGTCTGTATTATGCTATGCTTTTATTTGTTTTGTTTCGATTAGTGAATGTGTTACTTTTTTGGGAACATTATTTATAAGTTTATCTTAAGCTAGCTGTGTTATTTGACTCGTTGACAGACGATAACACAATCACGTTATTCAATGATAACATCTTTGTGTTACACTTTTAGTAAAAGTATTTTAAAGAATTTATTACAATTGATTGATCATTGAGTAATGGCCAATGTTATGTATGTCTAGTCCTTTGGTGCTTCTGGTCGAATTCTATGGATTTTTGTAATGTAATCATTAGTCTAAGTGATTTAACGTCAAATGTATTATGTTGAAATGGAGGAAGTCAACAGAAAAATTTGGTTAACTTAGGTTTTATGCTGATTAAAACTTATCAGCGAGGTGTGGCTGTAATCTTTAGGGTTGGTTCTAGAGATGATCAATCAAGCCTACAAAGACATCATTGTGTAAGTGAAAATATTTATATACTTAAGGAAAAATCTGTCAACGCAGATTGTCCAATGATTGTACAAGTTTTTTCTGTATTATAAGAAATCCGTAACCGTTTTAATCATACGATTAACGGGAAGACAAAACTTCCACGTTCTTGAACCTTTAGTCAGAGTTTCGAGAGTCTTTGAGTAAAATACCCATTCATAATATTGCGCAATTTCTAAACGTAACTACAAATGACCTCAGTAAAGTGCAGATAAAAATGATCAGGTATTCGGTTTAAACTCACTTCTCTTGATTGATTGTATTCACGAGTCCTGACTCTGTATTAATTTTGTTTAATGTTTATGTATAGACAGCTTTTATCTCTTGGAATAAAAATTTTTTCGGTGAGACTAAAGAACATGGACGAGCCAATCAGAGTCTTTCGCGGGTTTTCAAGGTCACGGCGCTAAGTTCGATACCTGACGCTTACGTACGGTCGGTTTACAACGGATTTTAGAGAAAGCTTTATAATTAAGGGTCTACAAGATAAGTTATCGTAAGATTTTGGCGCAAAGTTCAATTATACATTTGGATAGAGTTGTGGCATTATAGCTGATGTCAGTTGGTAATGAAAACCCTAAGTATAATTCCTAACCTTGACCATGAACTGTAAATCATAATTTGAATTCTTCACACGGGTTTATAACCCTCATTTAGTCTTAGTTGTTACGTTGACACTCTCAGATTCACTATAGCGTCGCTCAAATGTCGTCCATAATTTATAGTTTCATCTTTAACCCTAAACCGTAAACCTAAACCTTAACCCTAATCCTAATCCTAAACCCTAAACCATACCAACATACCGACAACACTGAAACTATGTGGTCGAGGCTGAAAGAGTTTCCGGGACTTTATCATGGTTCCAGAGGTCGACTACTATGGAGCCACAGGGATGAGTTCCTGTGTCGGATGCATTATGATTTTAGAACTTCTGAACCTATATCTGACCTTGATAAGTTTTTGAGTCATGTAAAAGAACAGTATCTCCTTTAATTTTTGAGTTTTGTATGATATATTTTTACTGTATGCTAACTATCTTCTGATTGGCTAATATTTCTCAAGGTCATTTAAGATTCGTTCAAAGGTCGTCCATATTCTTTAGTCTCGCCATTTTTTCTTAGACGTGAAATAACGATCAAGATTTAAACTCTCTTCAAAATTCAACATGATTTACATTTAAACAAAAAGGAACATGCATAAAAACTCTTTGGAAGTTTTCGTAACAGTTTTAAACAAGAATTCAAGGGGGAAAAAAAAATCTACAATTGATATTGTTCTCATTTGTACCGCTTAAAACTATTAGTAACTATGTGAACTACTATTCGTTTAAAATACTATAAATAAAATGTAACATTAAAGTAACATTTTCTTTCAACCTTAGAAAGCATTGAAATGGAACAATGAATAAGCATTTAAAAAGAACACTCTCTAAAATTTATTTTAAGTGAAGTTCTTTGTTTTTGTTGACGAACAATTAAAAATAAATGGCCAAGTGAAGAAAACTATTTTTACAGATGGAATACATTTCTTCCGCTCTATCATGCCCTCACTCTGTGTTTCGAAATGTGTGTGGGAAATATGATGAGACAAACATAGGTTACTAGAGAAATTATTGAAGGCATAACGTACAGTGATATGGTGAATCACTCATTCGACGATTATCTATTGATCACGAAATATAAATGTTGAACAATGAAACTGTTCATCTTATTCGATAAATTTCGATTAAGAATAAATAATCGAACATTTTTGAGAGAGGGGAAGACCAGTTCCTTTCATTTCAACCAACGATCATCATTCTAGTATGCAATGAACTATTAGAAGAGATATAAATTCTATCAGGATAATGTAAACGGTTTCGTAAGTAATCGATATTTAACTGTTTACAGGGTTTTCGTCCTGTTCGAAAAAGTGTTGGTCAAACAGTTAGGATTTCGGTGACTTTATCATGTCAAATTGACAGCATCCGACAGTGCTCTGCATCAAAGTCAATTTTCATCACTCTCACCAACGTTTATGATAGATACACAAATTTACATACTTATACACTAACCTTTGGTGAATTTCAAACTATCTAATAGCATATTCTACTTTATTCATATAATAGAAACCTGTTTCAGTCCCTTAATTTTAATGTTGTAAGAGTATGAGAATATTTAGCATCTTATTGAAATCATTTGACCTGAATAAGAAAACAGTTTTTTCGAGAATTTAAACCGTATGAACAATCAAGACTATGAAGTTGAAGTATTCTTTAAAATCTAAATTTAACAAATTGTTTAATAGTATAACCACACGATAACAAATGTATGAAGCCATTTTGGTTTTCACCCATCTCCGTGTGCAATATGGCTATTAAGAATAGAGAATATTCGTAGGCTACGAGTATCCGATCATATGTGTCTTCGAAGTATTTCTTGTGCATTTTGTGACTACCAAGTGAGCGATGCTGAGGTTAGACATAGGGTACTAAGTAAAGATGGCGAATCGACTGATGAGGTAGTAAATCTTCATCAACTGTGGTTGTCAAGACATGCATTACTTATACTAATCCACTACTTACCTCGACGGGTGATGTCTGGTGTAAGAGTAATATGGAACAAGACTGAAGATGGAAAAAATAAAACGTGAACCAGTCTATGAAGTCGTAAACAATTGGGCCTAGCCATCTTAATAGGTAAAAAGTACCCGGTCAAGGTTCGCGTGGTTATCGTAATCAATGGTTGGGTAACATGGCCGAGAATAGTTCACAGCGACGCGGGTTCATTTACTTCTCATCCTCCTCTAGGATCTGAATCCGGAAACCTCCTTTTACTTTTTCATTTTTCATGACTAATCATGTTTTTCGATTACTAATACTGTTATTACTTCCATTATTTTGGGATTTTTTTTGAAATGCTTTTATCTTTCATTGTTAATGTGGAATGACAAATTGGACCGATGAACATCGGTATCAGATTGCACGTTGAGTATGACATGACATAGCATCACACTAAGAGGTTGATTTTCATCACTAATGTTGACAAACAGCTTCTAAAGATAGAAAGGTCTTTATTACAAGGGGGTTTTTATGGAGATTTAGTAATTTTATAGTTAAGATCATTAGTCAATAGAAGCTAGACCACCAAGGAAAACCTGGAATCACTGGACGGCCGTTTCGTCCTATTATGGGACTCCTCAGCAGTGCGCATCCACGAACTCACTCTCTCGAGATTCGAACCCAGGACCTACCAGTCTCGAGCCAAAGCCCTTAACCGATAGACCACTGAGCTGGCATCCAACGGTGTTAATGTCTAACCCCAACCAATCCACGAAATTGCGCAATCAACTTCCAATGTACTGAGGTAGATACCTGTCTCTACCTGACATGGATTAGCTCCACTGGCCACGGCTTCTCACTAGAACTCCAGGAATTACCTCAAGGAGCCAGTCACTAGTGAGCACATGATCATTATCACAGGGGCTCGAGACTGGTAGGTCCTGGGTTCGAATCTCGCGAGAGTGGGTTCGTGGATGCGCACTGCTGAGGAGTCCCATAATAGGACGAAACGGCCGTCCAGTGATTCCAGGTTTTCGATGGTGATCTAGCTTTAATTGACTCATGATCTTAACTAGAAAAATCTTTGTTGACATTGATATCTTCGTAGCACTATTTGTCTGTAATTAAACTAACATTTGAAAAGTTTGATTTCAAGGAATGTTGGAAAGGATATCATTTTCAGCTGTAAAATGGTAGGGATCAATGCTTAGAGACTTTAACTAGTTTAGCTGTTTAAACCTACCATGATAGAAAAAATGTAATCATCGTTATACATGACATACGTTCCTTCCTCCACATTTAAAAGTACTGTAGACTATTATAAATGGATTACGAGCCTTAAAAAACGACAAAATACACAATATGATCAACAGCATCAGATCTCAGTATAAAAAAACCTGGAGGAGGATTTAGAAAGATTTCAAACCCTAACCGAAATAATTCAAGTCAAAGCAGACCAAGTATGCTTTGGATGCAATAATTACACAAAAGCCAAGTTAATCACAACAAGTGCCAAATCACTGCCCTTTTGGAAACACGCGCTTCCGGTTTTTCTCGTTGTAAGCAGTTCTGTACTGGATCATTAGTGATATATCAAAGTGAATCAATAACAGTTCATTGGGAAGTAAACAAAACTCATCATATCATGTACTGAAACAGGAAGTTGATTTTCAGCATTGTGTTTTGGGTTAAGGTTAATCATTAATAACCTTCTGCTTAGTCAGTGGTAGCGTAAAACACGACATCAGGCTGGAGGAATGTACGTTTATTGCAAGAAGTTACAGAGTATTTACGTAATACATAAACATAGTTTTCATCGACTATTGGCACCTTTCAATGTTTCCTGACATCTGGACTGTCTTCTCATCTGGTCTCCAGGTGTTCTGACAACTTTGTGCTTTCAATGCACTGAGTTTCATCAAAAAAAATGCAACTTGGACATCACATTTAGCTACTCACTACTTGCATAAATTCTTGTGAGAAGCGTTCACTACAGTAATATTGGTAATAGATACGCCTTATGATTACAAGACAGTAGTTTTGATCACTATGCTATTATAATGAATGTAATGGACGAGAACACATATGGAGACAATCGAATTTACTTACACACAAAATTACAGAATATCTTATTGAAATCTGAGAACCATACAATAAATACTTAATTTGCAAAATGTCAATCAGTTGTCTCAAACTTGATTGCTACTTTTGTAAATATCAGTCAATTGTCTCAGACTTCATTTTTCTTTCGTTTTCACACCAATCATTCTTTGTTCTCGTTCTCTTTCCTCAGATCTTCTTAACCTTCTGCGGCCAGACATTACACTTTTGATTGATGATACATACAAGTGTTAGTAGTTAATTACTTTAAAATAATAGAAAGGAAAATTAGGGACATTATCAACATGAACAGAAGGAAGTTTGACGATTATGCTATCATACTGAATTATTGAAACAGAAGCTCAACTACGTCTTCATCATTCTCTACATTTGAATAAGTGATAAGATGGATAAGTTAGTTATTTAATGAAATGTCATTCAAATGTCAATTTGTCAAACTCCTGAGTACAAGGGAATGACAAAAGTACAATTATGATAGATATACAAAGTTACATACTTATAAACTAACCTTCAGTGAATTTCAAACTATCTAATAGCATATGCTACCAGGTCTGTTTTGGAGATATCATCTCACTGAAGACAATTGGTGAACGGTCGCTCAAAATCGTGGATTGGTTGAAGTTAGACATTAGCACCATTGGATGCCGGCTCAGTGGTCTATCGGTTAAGGGCTTCGGCTCGAGACTGATAGGTCCTGGGTTCGAATCTCGCGGGTGTGGGATCGTGGATGCGCACTGCTGATGGGTCCCATAATAGGACGAAACGGCCGTCCAGTGCCTCCAGGTTTTCGATGGTGGTCTAGCTTCAATTGACTCACGCTTTCAACTGTGAAAAAATACAATTTCCATCCGATAGTCTTTGATTTATAACAATTGTTTGATACTATAAACGATTTATGTTAAAAGGTACTCTGTAATTTATTTTGCATAGCTTACTGTGCATCAGTGTGAAGTGTAGTTCAAAGTTTTAAAAAAAATAATGCACATTTTTCAAACTATATTGAATTGTGAAAAAATCCGATAATTTTTTTAATTTAGCCTACTTTTCTCTTCAATTTTCCTTTTTTCTAATTTAGACAATGGCACAGAAACGTACATTAACATCTTTGTCGTCTAATCTAGCCAGTTGGACACTGACAGACCAAGAATTGGTAGGAAATTATTTCAAATAAATAATGTTTATGTTGATTATCTGTGGAAGTTGTTTAGTTTTATAATTTACATCACTGATTGATCTTAGACAACTTCTGGAAACTAAGTAGCACTGGATCGCTACTGCGTCTTGATAAATGTTAGGCTATTGTCATGGGACCTGAGAGACCTGAGTTTGATCCATGATGGGTCTGTGAATCTGTACTGCTGGGGAGTCTCATACTAGCAGGAAATAACTGTCCACTTCTTCTCGATTTTCAACTATGATTTAACTAATATCAGTCAGTTATGTAAACTATGATAATTATTTTTATTTTGTAATCGAAATGGGAGTAATGACACTTTTTTGGATAGCATATGTAGCTTTATTTAGGCTAGTTTAAACAAACAATGTTTATGTGAGTTCAGCTAATATTTTAGTTTCCATGTTAATTAACAGTATGTTTACTGAACGATGAGTTTCATTGAATAGTTTTGCATTGTCCTTACCTAGGTTGATTACAATAGTGTTTGATGTCAAATGATTGACTTTGTAGGTAATTGGCAAATTTTCGTGATAGATGAGAACATTAGTCATCGAATCTGGGTAATCCGAAACCGCTAAATCAACTCATATTTTCTTTAGAAAACTTTAATACAATGAATAATTATAGGATATATCAGTAGACAACTAACAGAATACTATCTTTAGTATGGGGTTATAGAGATTATTGAGTTTTATTGAAATCACTAATTGATCTAAGTTAGACAACCATTAAAACTTTGGAAGCAGTGAACGACCGTTTTGTCCTAGTATCGGATTTCTCAGTAGTAGACACACACGATTTCACACGTTGAAATCGAACCCAGGCTCTTCAGACTTACGTTCGAATACAAACCGGAATCCAACCCAGGACACTAAGTTATTATTTAGATGACATTACAGCATATGTTGGTTAGATTATCTGTAGAAAACTAATTTGACTCGCCCATGCCAAGGTTGAACTTGATAGTTTCGAATCACTTGAGCATTGAGCAGGGAGTTAATGATAAATTTATTTTTTATCACATCCCAATGAGTAGAAAAATTTTATTTCTGACGTTTCGCGACTTAATATAAGCCACTTCTTCAGAGTAAACAAATGACCGAATTAAATTAACACAAGTTCAAATAGTAAAAAGGAAGCATTTGTTTTCTTACATTAAGTGACGAGATGTCAGAAATACAGTTTTTCACTTAGTGGAATATTACAAAAAATATATTTATTATTACTTTGTACCATGTTTGCTATAGATTCTATTACACTGGTTGATGTCAGCTAATGGTAGTTTTTTTAGTAATTCATGAATGAAACTCAGCTAAACTACAAATAAATTTGCAAATGTTTAAATCATTCATAATATCTATTAAAGACCCTGAACTAACCAACTAATTCAGATCGATCATTAGGAAGAACATGAGTAGTTATGCTGATTCGTTTGGAATCCATCTAGATAACAGGTGTTCGACTTAAATATAAAGACAACAAAGCAGAAATGTTAAAAAAATACCTTTTGATTACGGTTGTAAACACCATGTTTCACTGATATATATGAAGTCAACCAGAGAATTTCAGAAATGCATATTCTCATTTGTACTATTACATTATAAAAAATAGCTACTGATTTCGATTGTCAGTCAGTCAGTCAGCTACAACGTAGGAACAGGCACATATATGCATCGATCCAAGTTGCCATACCTCACTTGTTAGCACAACAAGATGAATACCAAATTCAGTAATTTCAGTAATTTTCACAAACACATACTGAAAATATTTTTATTAATTTTATGTCTATTCGTCAAAAAAAGAAAAGCTTTGAATATTTTCTTATATTTTAGAAAATGCATGTTTATCGTAAAACATTACAAGCCTTGGCTTATCCCATATCAAGTAACACACCGCATAATTTTCAATTGTTTAGTGCTACAAGTCCTACTTATTGTTATGAATGTGAAGGTTTATTATGGGGTGTAGCCAGGCAAGGATTACGATGTACTGAATGTGGTGTCAAATGTCATGATAAATGTAAACGTTTATTAAATGCAGATTGTTTACAAAGTGAGTATATCATTTCCATATATATATATATATATATATATATATATATATATATATATCACAACAAGATGATTTATTTTCACGTTTGGGTAGATAATTCCTATAAGACTCTGAAAGTTGACAGTAATATTGTAGTGAACAGATCACGGGAGGGGACACTCGAATGTATGTAAGCAGAAAAACTACAAACTATCTCACTAAGATCTGATAACCATACAGCAGATAGGCAATTCGCAAAATAACTACCTATTGTCTCAATGTTCACTATTGCTTCTGTAAATATCAATCCATTTTCTCTAAGTTAATTGTTTATGCATTTTTCTACCAGTAGCGCTTCATTTCATTTCTTTCCTTATCGGTCTACTGCCAAAAAGCATTCTATGTCTGACCATCACCATATACTGCTTATGAGGATATAAGCAGACTACACCACAATATATGTGTTTATATTTAGAAGGGGATTTGTGGAGATTTCAGTATTTTTCAAAGTTGAAATCATGAGTCAGCTCAGTGGTCTATCGGTTAAGGGCTTCGACTCAAGACTGGTAGGTCCTGGGTTCGAATATCGCAAGAGCGAGTTCGTGAATGCGCACTGCTGAGGAGTCCCATAATAGAACGAAACGGCTGTCCAGTGCTTTCAGGTTTTCGATGGTGGTCTAGCTTCAATTGACTCATGATTTCAACTTTGAAAAATATGTGTTTATAGTTAAGTAAGTGTGTCACCTAAATAGATGAGTATCAAAGTAATTTAATAACATACAATTACTTTGATGTTCATTATAATAAAATGTGAAAATTCGTTTGCATAAGTAGGCTGCCACTTATCGCTTTTCACATAATATAAAATCGTTTTGAATTGCTTTTATTCTTCTCGGAAAAAAATATGTACATTCATATATGTACTTGAAGAACTCTTTGGAAATGAATCGTGATTAATGTTCTTACAACTTATTTGTATTTAGTTTCGATCATGAAGAACCATTGAAATAAATGATGAATAGATAAATGGTTTGCGCTGGGTTTTTTTTTCTCTATGACTCTTCACTAGTTCACATGCACAATTTCACATGGAGTTGAACCGTTAGATTCTTATGATAATTACAACAACATGTAGTGGAACTATCTGATAGTTTAATTATTAAAATTTCAGTTAAAGCAGACATGTTTAACTTATTCGAATCTAAAATCAAAAAAATTGACCATGATCGAATTAATGAGAAAGACTAGGTTTTATCAGAAAAACGTATTGAATATCTTCAGTAAATTCCATTTAATCTTACTTATCTTCAACTGATTTCTTTTCCTTCTATTGTTAACCTTAAAATTAGGTCAGTTGTAAGTATAAATCTATATATATGTGTCTGTGAGTTATTACCAAATATCTAGAGTAAAATGACATAAACATCAGCTCAATGACACAAAGAACAAAAAGGAAATAAAATAGTCTGGAACAAAATAAAAACGTAAAAAGCCTTCACATATGTATCCGTCTTCTATTTCTTTCTCGATATGTTTTTACTGTTATTACCAGCATTAGATGTGTGTGTGTGTGTGTGCGAGTGAGTGAGTGAGTGACTTGATCATCATATCATTGTAAATTTCTAATGAATCTAATTTCGGAACATTATCTATTCCCTCAAGGAAAAATTATTGTAACAATTATCTACTTGTTCAGAAAAATCATAGAGCAACTTTCTTCTTGTTTTTTTTTTATAAAAAAAGTTATTTTTCTTCTCAGCGTACACTGTGATCTTTGTGGTTCAAAATATCAGATCTAAAATGGATGATTTTCCCATTGAAACATGTGATATAAACTGTGATAATTGTCTATGTAAATTCAATCTTTGTTTTCTATCTTCTACTTCTTCTTTCTTTTTCTTAACAACTGGCCTAGAAAGAACTCAAAAATTTTTTTACAAATTTAAGTTTCAAATAAATGAAGAAACAGTTTACTTACGGTTTAATCAGTAAACAGTCAGATGTTAAATAACATCACCTCTAATATTTCTCAAATTTAGAACGTGATGAATTATACCATTAAAGAATGTTAGGCAACATACTTACTTACTTACTTACGCCTGTTACTCCCAATGGAGCATAGGCCGACGACCAGCTTTCTCCAACCCATTCTGTCCTGGGCTTCCTTTTCTAGTTCTATCCAGTTCTTGTTCATTCTTCTCATCTCTGTCTCTATTTCTCGGCGTAATGTGTTCTTTGGTCTTCCTCTTCTCCGTTGACCTTCAGGATTCCATGTGAGGGCTTGTATTGTGACGCAATTAGCTGATTTCCTCAAGGTGTGCCCAATCCACTTCCAGCGCAACATAGGAAACGGGAATTAACAGATTTTTGTACTGAACATCTTTCTTTTTTTATATGAGATTCCTTAATGGACAGACAATGGTACTGATACTGTAAGATAATTTGTAAGATGGTTAACTGATGAGTATGACTGATAAATCAAACATGCAGCTTGATCAACCGATTGATGTTTACATTACTGATTTCCAATGAGTAAACATTTTTGACCTGTCATTACAATACTGTCTTACTTGTAAGTACAGCAATCTTTACGGAACAAGGTCTAGTTGACTAGTAAATGACGAAGAAATGGTTGGTAAACTTTAAGCTATAACACCTCAAACTGTGACTATAGGTCATGCCGGCTCTCATTTCATGGAGAGCGCCGGTTCTCTCAAGATTGTAAATTCATCTTGCTAACGAATGGTAGTTATTTCGAAACTTATATCCAGGGTTACCAGCCACTTATCTTCAATTATCCAACATTAAAAGATACCGCACGCAACGTTTAATCATTTACATTAGATGAACGATAGGGTTTAGCGTGTTTTATCCATCAAGTTAGTATGTGGATACTAGTCTAGGTGAATTGACATAGTATGGATTATGTTGAGATAACTAGGTTGTTGGTGGTAGCCGACAGAAAATTTTTCATCTAGATTTTATCCTGCTTGACGCTCGTCAACAACACACACTACCGATCCCAAGGGGACTGATGCTCTAGTGTAGTAGGGTACCCTATCTCACAGTCCGAGACGTTATCTGGGTTATCAAAGACTTCCAGTGAGACTAAGTTATTTACAACTAGGATTTACAACAGGGACTACTAATTATTTTTTTACTGTCAACGATAACCGATAACTGTCAATGAGCAGGCAATATAAAACCGATGTAATTTGTATCCAGTGTACCTTGTGATCAAATTTGATTGGATGATATTATTCATCAGTAACTCACTAGAAATCGGCTTACATTTATCTGATGAAGATTAATGTTTTTTTAAGTTAGAAAATATTCAACAAAGTATATATATGTATATATATATATATACATATACGTTGACTTCCTTCCTGAGTGTATTCATGCATAATCTATCAATTAATTTTATTACATACTTATCCATGTAATTTAGTAGTATGCTTGTCCTAGTAACTTGACATTCAATAAATACTTATATTGACTCACTATAAGTTAACTAATTAGCTATTTAATCTATGTGTAAGGCATTTGAAATCAACTTACGAAATAATTTCATTTATGACAAGCCAAAATGTTTAACAGTTTAAAGTTGTATGACAAATTCAACAGGATTGAGGTTATTGTTTTAATGATAGCAATGAGATGATTTAAGATAGTTGAATGGATTCTGTATGCCATTTTAATTATGAATTTGATGGCATTAATGTGATGATTGTTACTTGATTTGTTCAATGATAAAAAGTAAATTGGCATAGACTTCGAATAGTTACATTGAATTACTCAAAAACTGGTTTCATATAAAACAATATTGGAAATCGATGAGCACTGAATAACTGTTTTACACTGGTATGAGATCATATAGCAGTGTGTAATCATAGCTCTCTTACGTTTTCAAACATCACCTTTAAGCCTCAGAGTGTGTTACCTTTGGATCAATGAGTTGCGAAATAGTGGTCAGAAAGTTCTAATGAGGACGAGACGTTTGTCGAGCTCATATATATTCCAACAGAAGATTGATAAGATTGAATTGAAAAGAAAACAGTGAGCAATTTTAATAACAAGATAATTGAAAACATCATGAACCGTGTAAAGGACAACTGAAGGGAGATATACAAATAATGTACTTAACCTATGGTTTTCATATTTTAGGAAAACACTGTTTACGTTTGCATTAAACAATAAATTGGTTATCTCCACCAAGTCTTTGTTCACTACATTAGATTTAATTACCCTGATCCATCAACTGAACTATTTGCCTATTGTGAACAAAATAAAAATCTTATAGATCTTCCCATTGAAATTTTAACATCGGGATGTGAACTTTATTTAAGGAAATCTTAACTACTAATCAAATGTTACTCTATCCCATAAATGGATAAATAAAATAATTATACTTTCATATATGGTTTTTAGTTGATTAGTCATTGTAATGTGAGGGTTATCATTTGGCGGTTTTCATGATGTTGTCAGTAACTAATCTGAAAAATTACAGTTTGATTTAATCTTTCCTCAGATTGATTGGTTTTAACAGCAGCTGATTTTTATGACATTGAATGATTTCAAAATGTTAGTATTAAAACTTAAATAATTATTGTAAGCAAAGATGGATAGTTGCTAGCAGTGGAATCCAGGACGCATGTTTCGTCCTATTTGGGACTCGTCAGCCGGATGTACTGCCAAAGGTACTAGGTTCGAGTCCCAGAGTGAAGATCAACTCTGAGATGCAGGTACTTCCAGCTAACGAGTCCCGAATATCACGAGACGCGCGTCCTGGATTCCACTGCTAGTCACTATCAATCTTTGCTTACAATGCTTGTGAATTTAGGCTATATCGAGGCAATACTCACAGTATGCACATATATCAATAAGAGACTGACCAGTTGCAGTCCTAAACATCAATGGGAAGATTCAAACAAACAATACTAAGTGAATTTAAATAATTATTCTTAGGGATATCATCCATGTCTTGAGACTTAAGGTTTTTCATTTTCATCCTGATATGA